ATATATATATAAATATTTTGTGTGTGTGTGTTTACATATTCTAAAATCAAAATTATCGAACTATTTAATGTATTTTCTTGGCCCACTGACAGTGAACTGTGGACACTCTAGGTGCCTGGCGTCTGCGTGCCTGGGTGTTTATGTGTCTAGGGCTCAGGTTTTTTGGGCTTAGATCTGTGATTGGACTCAGATATTTGGGGCTTTCGTGTCTAGAGTTTGGAGACTGGGTGACTGGGTTTGGGTGTATGGATGGTTATATCTGGGTGTCAGTGCGTCTGGGTTCTGTGTTTATAGGTGTCTGGGTATATGGAGACTGGATGTTTGGGTGTCTGGGTATCTATCAGCTTGAGTGTCTGGGTATATGGAGACTAGATGTTTGGGTGTCTGGGGACAGGGTGTCTGGGTGTGTACTTGTCTGCGAATCCGGGTGTCTGGGTGTATAGGTGTCTGTGTGTCTGGGTGTTTATGTGTCTGGGTATATGGAGACTGGATGCTCAGGTGTCTGAGTGTCTGTTTTAGTGTCTGGGTATCTGAGTGTTTGTCTTAGTGTCTGGGTATCTGGGTGTCTGTGTGTCTGCGTGTTTGGGAGTCTGGGGACCGTGTATTTGGATATATGGAGATTGGATGCTTGGGTGTCTGGAGTCTGGCTGTCTGTGTGTTTGGGTATCTGGGTGTCTGAGTGTCTGAGTATTTTTGTCTATGTGTCTGGGGGCAGGGTGTTTGAGTGTCTGTGTGTCTGGGTGCATATGTGTCTGTGTGTCTGGGTAACTATGTCTATCAACCTGGGGACAGACCATATCTGGGTGTCTGAGAGTCTTGGAGTCTGGATGTAACGGTGTTTGGGTATATGGAGACTGGTTATCTGTGAGTCTAAGTGTCTTGGTGTCTTTTAGTTTTAGTAGAGGCTTTACGACGCTCGCAACTGCATAAGGTCACGTGAACCCCTAAAGATAAGAGGTGTTACAAGAGAGTAACAAACATAAAAAAGAAGAAGGGGAGATAAGGACGATAGACGTTTGATAGGAAAGAAGAAGCAAAACCCACCAGAGCACCCACCAACCACCCACTCTTGGTGTCTGGGTATATGGAGACTGGTTGTCTGTGAGTCTGAGTATCTCGGTGTCTGGGTGTATAGGTGCCTGTGTGTCTGGGAGACTGGGCGTCTGGGTATATGGACTGTATGCTTGGATGTCTTCTGGGAGTATGGCTGTCTGAGTGTCAGGGTGACTGGGGCTTGGGAGTTTGGGGCTATGGTGTGTGGGGCTCGGGTATACATGAGTACCAACTTCTTGGCATTTTTGGTGCGTTCTGTGTGACATACTACATGAATATGTTTCAAAACCCATTTCGAAAGGCAAATGATACATGTGACCTATGCTCTTTCTAAACCACCTGGGTCCTTTCGGTTTTGCATAAAAGGTATTCTTTCTAGCGTTTCACTCAATGGTCACGATATGTAGGTCTCTATTTCTTTTTATGTGCATTTGTGTGTGTGTTTCTCTCTCTCTGTGTGTGTGTGTGTGTGTGTGTGTGTGTGTGTGTGTGTGTGTGTGTGTGTTTCTGTGTGTGTTTCTGTGTGTGTGTGTGTGACCTGAGAGAGGGAGGTGGTTTGAGACGAGATCTAGTTTTAAAAAAATATAATAACACAAAATCTAATGCCCTGGCGTAAAAGTGATCTT